AGCGCGCCGGTCGGTCTCCCCACAAAATCCCTCCACCCTCAGTCCCCTCGCAATCAGACCTACCGGGCTCAGTCTGAGTTTCTGATTATGGTAAGTATACGTAGGGTGGATCGCGTGGCCGGTCGGGGATGCTCGCGGGGCACCCATAGATCTCCTTTGATGGTTTCTCCGGCTTGAAAGTGCGCCGGGATGATTTTTCCTCTCCTCCTCCGCCGCTAGACTCCTCCGATCGACTGATTGTTAGTGGTTCTGTCTCCTCCGCAACACGAACCGCAGGACGTGATTCTGGGTGGGCTGAAGTAGGGGATCTAGGGTTCATTCGATGAGCCAAGGCTGCTCTCAGGCGATTTCCGATAGTTCCACTGTGTCTCGAGATTCTGCTCTCATCGAAATCCATTCGTTCGTCTCACGTCAGGAAACCACATTCTTTTGACGTTCTCTCGAGACTGCGGAAGCAAATGCCGTAATCTCTGCTCCGTCTTTGAGTTGATCTTCGCCATCCCTGACCCTCGTCGAGGCCGCAACGGAATGCCGGAGGCCATCTCCAAGGTTGACCTGAGCAGAAGGCCCTTCTTCCCACGGCAAAATACTCTCCGGAGGAGACCTTTCCAGCGGCGGGGCACTGTCTCACATGTCCGACGAGTGAGGGTTGGCTGGAAATAAACGAATAATTACCACATCATGACAATCTCTGATTGGCCGGACACTAATTCCGCCTTATCATTTCCGATCACTCATTTCCTCTTGTTGATGGGGTAAACCTCCAGATCTGGCTGACACTCGGACTTAATGATGATCCGCGGCGACTTCAACCAATCTCAATTGCCGCTGGTTCTCCAAATTCTTGAGCTCAAATCGAGTTCCCCCTTCGTCAATCTCGGCGACCGACCCTACGACTGCTCGCGCCGCTCTCTCAGGGCATATCTTACATTGCGTGATCGCTGATTGTTCGAACTTCCGCCGTCTCATTTTGAAATCTCGGGAGCTATCACGATCACCTATTACTCGAGCTCATTCAATAAATGATTTGGCTCGGGAGTTGTTAAGATTAGAGACTAAAACTCAAAAGATTACAGTCGAACGCAAATTCGTTAAGAGCGACCCAAAGATTCTGTAAGAGCCTCATCGGAATGATCGGAAAATATCGACAACTACTCGTATAATTCCCGTGGTGACGGGAGCCTGATAATCTTCAAGTCTGAGGAAAAATCGAAGCTTTCTCTTCGTTGCCATAAAGCGCACCAGAGCCATATCGATTCTAAAGACAATTGTCACCATGGAAAAGTCTTCCGAGAAGTTCATGTGACGCACGCCTGAGATCCTCCCAAACGTTGTGAAACCCGCGAGCTTATCGTGAGAGCGATGAGCGCATGTCTATACACAGACATCGTACATCCGTAGAGAGAAGCGTTTCTTGATACGATCCCCATAGATCGCACCCCGGAAAACCAACCCCGTAACTTGTTTCGCTCGAATGGAATTCGCCCATCGAGGAGTGCAGATGATGATTGAATCCTTAACTGTATCGGAAGGATGCGTCGTTATCTCTCGACGCAATCTCAGTCTTCGATTTATGGAGGAGCCGATGGATATGATCAGAGATGATTCCTGTGATTGTTCTGGGGCAACAGGACGGAGCTTCGCGGAGTAACGGGAAAGGGGTCTTCAACTCGAAAATATGCAGAGGCTCCCATCGCTGTGCATGGATCGACTTCGATGAGAGGAACTCAACGATTGGAACTTTGGGATCTCCGATGGGGAATAATTAGAATAAATGATTTCTCGTCGCTCTCGTGAGACACCTTGTTTTCTCGTGAGAGCGTTCCGTTAGGTTTCCTCTACAGTACGTCGGCTTCGTGCGGTTCCTGTTTCAAGCAATGGCTGGAGTCTGAGGTCCCCCAGCCGTTGCCTGGACGTCTTTGATTCCGGCTCGATCGGATGCCGATCAGACCTTTTGTAAAGGTGAAATTGGCGACTCGGGATCGATCGAGATGCCCGTTCCAGATACATAGACTAGAACATCGCTGTCGTGAGTCTCGCAGGATACCTTAGCTATGGCTTGGTGTGGCAGCGATACCGAGATAAAGATAAAGGTTCCCTTTCCGCGTTCAGTCCTTATCAAAACATCCATCGCGCCTGCTAGCACCACCAGCAGCGGTAGCGGCTGCAGCTCGATAACGCGGCTGCCTAGCCTCCTCTAACGTCGCAACGTGCCGCTCTCCAACGTGGACGTACGCTTTTCCCACTTTGACTGTGGAGAACGCGGCGTTGATGGTTCGTTTGGCTTGACTTCCCGTGGGGTTTCCTCGTTCCTGGTCTGTCGAAACCCGCTAGGACCATCGAGCTCGTCAAGGTATCCCGAACTCCATTCGGAGAGAATCAGCTGATCGCCGCTCACGGTCGAGCATTTCGGAGGGATCCCCGACTGCCTCCACGACAGCCAGGTCTCTGGTGTTCTACCACTCTGATCGAGACCCGATCTCCAGGATCAATATCTCCCGGATCACGACCGAGCCCCAATGAGAACCCCGAGCCCTCAGCTCATGCCCCGGAACAGCTGTTCTCTCGAACAGCGGCTGAGAACCGCCGCCGACCCCATCGTCGGAGTTCTTTTGTCGATGAAGTGTTGAGTGACTCGTGCATGGACCCTCGAGGAAAACTCCTGTTGGGAATTTCCGGAATTGATCAGTGATCGATATCAGGGATCTGGAGCCCAAGGTCGACAGGGACTCATATACATCGATTTTCGGACCCGAGCTCTGGTATTCACGAAGGGTTTTCTTACAGAAGAGAGGAACTCAGTAGCTCGAGGGAGTGAGCGATTCCCGAGCGCGCCCACCACCGGATAACCGTCTGAAAGGCACCTGCGGTGTCTCCGATAGGGGATCGCATCTGACTAGAATAATAATTAAAGAGGAATCGATCGCGAGAATTTTCGTTCTTCTAGTGCGAGCATGATTGATCAACTAATTTTTGGTACAATTGGAGATCAGACCCGTGATGAAGTTTCGTTTCTTTCTTCAGACTCCATTCGAGAAACATTGCTCCGGTTGCGGAAAAATCTCTCAATCGAACTTCGACCGCCAGGACAGCCGGTACCGCGGAAGAAATCTATGCAGGGTGAGATTTAAGAAAGAAACTCGTATCTATCTCAGACATTCGGCCTCCGACGAGCATTGGGGTGACATTTCAGCAACTGATCCATCTATCTGAAAGCTATCTTATCTAGCATCGTGTATCTACCAAACATACACTTATTTAGAATTATACTTCCGAGTATTCCGTTCACTCTCTGTTGACATCCCTTGCTGTACCGTCGGCGTCGCAAGCTCGTAAAACAGGAAGGGTGGTCCCAGGATCGAAGCCCGCCTTTGCGGGTCGTCATCGAGTTTGACTCTTCGAAACTGATAGTCACGAAAAGGCGGGGGAAGCGGGCAACCTCTCACGAAACTCCCCATTCATTCCTCACCAGAGTCGCGCAATTGCTCTGGGACTCTACATATTACTATTGCTCGCTCGGGTCGCCTTAAATTTTCATTTGGAGCGAATCGAAATGAATAATTGTCTCTCGCTTACAGGAGACTGGATGTGCAATTTTTGTCCTTACAAGAGCAACAACTTGTCGAACGTGAAAATGCATGAAACGCATCATTCAAAAAATGCTCAATTCAAGTGCCGTTTCTGCTCTTTCTCCGCTGAGCGACAGAACGCGTTGATTTCGCACGAGCTGAAGCTTCACGTCGATGCTCCCTTGGTCCGCGCACCCTCGCAGCTCCCCCCGGCCAGTGGTCGAAGGAAATAGTTGGAGGGACAGCTTATCTGTATATGCATGCCCTGGGCTCGTCTCTTCTGCATTCCAAGTGCTGGTAGGATAGATGACGCTCTTATCCATGCTCGATTGTAAGATAGTGCTATTGTTTTCGGCGAAGTAATATATACACCATAGCGATTGTGTCTCGATGGTTGCATCTGGTTTGATTATACAGTAAAAGCTCGTTATGAGGACCCCCATTACAACGAATTTCTCGGTATAACGAACAAGAAATTCCTCCTGCTTTGGCCAGCTCGCCATGGGGATAGTGTTGAGCGGCATTCGTTACAGCGAAAACTCGTTACAACGAACCAGTTTCGTCGGTCCCTCCGTGTTCGTAGTAACGAGCTTTTACTGTATACGAGTGGATCCTTGCCCGAGTATCACCTACGAGAGTGGTAATATAAGGAAACTGAGTCCTCTTCATAGATGCCGAATTGTAATAAAACTTTAAAACCATAATCAAGCATCGCGATCGTCGCTGAACGATAGAGTCACGAGAGCGGCGTCCTCCGCGCAGGGAACCACCTGCTCTACGGAGCACTCTCTGGATACGGGCTGATTCGCGGAAACTCATTTCCGTCGTGGCCGTCCCGCTCGGGAGAGGAGTAGATGAGCATGCCTTGGATGCGAAGACAGATCGAACCTTATCTGGGTGTATGAGTGCACGACGAAGCAGGCTCGTGTCACAAGGTAACACCTTCCACTTCGCACCTGAGCGAATACGTCGTGTGCACCCTTCAAGGATGAATGGCAACTGCAGAGCAACCGTAGTTTCTTCTGCCGACAGAAAATATGAAGGAACAATCATATCCCGAACTGATTGCGCAAAACTGCATTCTGGAAAAATCACGATCAACGTTCGAACTTCGATAAGGACGGAAGCTGTATCTGTCTCCACGAATGATCAAAGAAAGACCGCTTGAGGGGGTCAATCAACCGGAGAAGGATTTCCCGATATGAAGGGAGGGGTCCGTTGTTCAGAAAGCGGTCTCAGATTTACTAATGAGAATTCTCAGCCGCATGATGGGAGCCTGAAATCGGTCACCGTGTCTGTCGAGGCGGCCCAACTTGCGAAATGGCGCCGTGTCGCGCGGGTCGGCTACGCTGTTCACGACGAAACCCACACACAGCTTGAAACATCCGGGCGTATCGCGTTTCGTCGAAGGTCCAAGACCGCCAGCTGACTCCGCGCGAGCCGCGTTCGAAATGCGCTCCAGGTCTTGGTTCGAAGACTGTGGAGGAAGCTGATGTTCCCATCCTTCCGCGGACAGCCAGGAAAGCCGATCATGACTTCCATTGATTGGAATCTAGAGTTTTCGCCGGAGAAGGGGAGCCAAACCGAGAAAAAAAATTCTGCTCTCGGTCTCGTCGCAGCTGCGACTACAGGAGGTCTCGCTGTGGGACTGATGGCCATCTGCGGACCCTTCGTTCTCCCGGGATTCAGAAGAATATGTCTACCCTACGTCCCAGCGACTGACAATCAAGTGAGTGGGGTTGGAGCTTCTCACATCTACCGCGGAACGTCCCAACCCGGAATTCGAGATCGACTGCGACTTCTCCATCTTAATTTAAGCTCCGAGAAAGGAAAGCATTGCCCGCGAAGCTTCCGTCAATGACTGATTATACTAAGGAATTACTGATCTAATTTATAGGTTTCCAATGTTCTCCGGATCCTCAAAGGACGCTCCTGTAAGAGCATTGTGGATCTGGGTTCGGGGGACGGACGGATCGTCTACGCACTTGCCGAGAACAGGAAAACCCTCGGTGAGTAGCTCGACTACGAAGCTGAAGCGTACTCCCACGCGAGTCTGGTCGCGAAGACTTCGGCGCGAGTTCGAAGCATTTTGTGTCCGAAGAACATAGTTGATGCTATTGCTCGATTTCTTTGTCTTCGCACTGCAGTGCGCCGATCCGATCGAGATCTTATCATTCGACTCCGTGCTTAAGATCAGCTCGGAGGTTCAGCTTCTCTCAGCTCACAACCGAGTGAATGCGAAAGAGCGGCACCGAAACCGCGTGTCACTCGCGTATGATCGCCGACAACTCGTCGCGAATCTTCCCCCGATAGAGAGGTCGGAGAGGACTCGACCGGGAACGCGGTAAACGACCCGATGGAAGACCGAAACGGAGCCCAGTCTCTGCGGAGAGCAACTCGAATCATAATAATTTTTGTGCGGGCGATCAGCAGCTCAATTGACTCGAGGCCAGCTCAAGGGGAATCCGATGTATCTTTTCAGGCGGAACCGAATTCGTAGGAGTTGAGTTGAACACCTGGCTCGTCCTCTATTCAAAACTCGTCGCTCTCAGGCGCTTCGGAAGGGAAGCGAATGTACGGTTCCTTCGTAAAGACATCTGGAAGTACGATCTCGGGAACCACGACACAGTGGTAGTTTTCGGCGTCGAGTGTATGATGAAAGAGCTCCAGCTCAAGAGCGAAAAAGAACTCAAGAAAGGCAGCACAGTTGTGGCTTGTAGATTTCCCTTCGAGACTTGGATACCCACTAAGGTCGAGGGTGACGGTGTGGATACGGTATGGTTGTATCAGAGATGACATCTTGAAGAATCGCACATAAAGCCATCAATTAGGTTCTGCACGGAGTCAGAAATCTTCCTTCGGAGTCAGGCTCCTCATTGAATTTTGATCGAGCACCCCCTCTCCGAGTCTTAGAGTTCCAGGGCTGCAATCAGAAAGGTTCAGACGCAATGACTTGGAATCCGGAGATCTCTTCCGTGGACACGACAGTGGCAGCTTTTGTCAAAAATATAGGTTTATTTTCATCAACATCCTATAAACATGTCAACGATCACTTCCGACTTGATGGGACGTCGGGAAATACGTCGCTTGAGGATTCCATCTTCAGATCGATGCGAAGCGATCTATCCCTCGACAATTTATCATTTGATTCATAGATCTGGAGAATCGCAGACTTGGGAGCTTGGTATTTACAAAATGGAGTTGAGTAAAATTCCGTCTAAAGCTGGCCTTTAAGGTTCAGAAAGTTGCGTTCTGTCCGCTCATCATTCACAGCTCTCTCACTCTATATATATCCTGATTTACAGTCGGCTGTGACCAGGCACTCCTCCTTGAGTAGTGCGGAACATTTTTCCATGTATCACACCGAGGCAGGAAGAATGGTGTTCGGTCCGACCGCTTACCAATCATCTGAACGATATCAGTGTGCGGAAATCAATGTACAGATGTTCGACCCATCGAATTGCCGCCTGCCTCTATATTCTCGATCCTCCCTTACCAAATGTTTCGATGAATGATTGAGACTCCGCAAAGCACCGTGACAGAGCTGTTTTTGTCGAGAGGTTCTTGCAGTCAAGTTTCCCGATTTGGAACTCCCTTGTCGCCTCTAGGATTGTCAGATCGAAAAAGATCGAGACCGTCCACCAAGTGGAGGCAAGGAGTCACTTATACAGATATCCGGAAAACTTCGTACCAGAATATCGTCAATTCCGATAAATTTCGAGAAATTCCCGCAGTTTCCTCATGAATATCTCCTTGTCGGACGGCTTTCGTCACGTTTTCGGAAGGGCTGGGGGTAAGACGAGCTGGAGCATTCGATTCACGGCTTCGAGAGAAGACGATCTCAGAGAATCCATAAATTCTTGGGTGAAAACAGACGAGCGCGCCGACTGGGTCAATTGCTTGAGGTGTGCTACAGTTTCTTGGTGATTGAATATCAACGACTTGATGACTGCGATCGCCACTGCCAGGAGCATGGTCGGGAGGACCTGCGGATCAAGGGGTTATTAGGAACGTCCGAGCCTAATCTTTCGACAGAAGGCTTCGCGGGATGCGAAGTCATCGTCGAGAGGCCCGCGAGATTTCACGGTCGGCCCATATGTATCATCAGCGTCAAAAACTCCGCAAGAGGACCGATCGGTTTTCATCTTACCGTAGTGATTACGTAACCGACGAGGACTAAAGAGCTGGCGAGCACGACGAAAGCCATCAGCCACAAAGAGTCCTTGCCCCAGGGATATTTCATGAGCTCCTCAACGAGCGGGTCTACGAGGAAATGCCAGACCGAGAACCTAAAACAGACGGTGGTGAGTGTGAGCGGGCGAGAGGATAAGCTCTGGAATCGTCCCTCATGCTTATTTCATTTATTATGCATCAAACACTGTCTTCTGTCTCCGAGAGAGTCTTTCGAGGAGCCCACAGGTCTGTCACCCTAATCTGGTCGAGCTCATGGCCTTACGACATCCATCATCGCAGAATAAGCATGCCCGAATTCCGCGAGACAACAGCGGGGGCTTTACATCGGAAAACCACGCCTCGCGGGGGAATAATGCAAAGAAATCGCTGCAGTCATGGAATCAGAGTTTCCCGCACCTTTCAGCTTCAGAGGGACAGGACGATGTCGAAGTCAGACGCTGGAACGCTCCTGGACCTGATGGTGCCGAGAAGGCAGAGCTTGGCGACCGCCTGGAATTCGAATGCGTGATCAATTTTTTTTCCAAGGAAAAGATGAGGGAAAACTGTTGCCTATCCCGGGGTGTATCTCGAGCGCTCTGAGAGAATTTCCCAAGCAATCCCGGGGGGAAAACTACGGTGACGTAACCCGCTCGAGGTCAAAAGCACCCTCCCACGTGACCTCGAGCAGCCTTCTTGAGCTCTTTAGGTCCGATGGAATGTAGGTAAGCCGTCATGACAGTTCGTCATCACGAACAGATCGGGCGACGGGGTAAATCCATCCGGATCCGGGTCGTCTATGGCGGATCGGGGGGACGTCAGCGGGCCGCCTTTCGATGTTAATGTTCTATAGATCCGTTAAATCAATACACTTCCGAGAGCCACACTTATTTTCGGAGGGAGTCGTCGCTCGACCAAACTATCTAAGACTGGATCAAGTGAATAATTGCATGGGGAAGCGTCGTTCGACTGGACTCTGGACCGTTCGCGAGGCGGAAAAAAAGATAGCCCACCTTAGAGGCACGCTATGGCTGTGCCAGTCAGGACTGAGCAGCGATGGCTCCAGCCTTGCCGGCAGTGTGAAGCTCTGCGGTGGAGCTCCGACGTTATTCCGGCTGTGTGGATTGTTCGGAGCCAGTCCACTGAGCGTGGAGAGATTTGTGAGAGATCTCGTCGATGGGCTGCAAGCGAAAAGGAACTCCATTAGAATAAATCCATGACGTCAAATCACAAGACGGAGATCGAAATATTGAACCATCCATCCGTCCGTCATTCAGCAAGGTACCGGTCAGCCGCACCCGTCCTCGATATTCATCAATACTCATGTGCTCAATGCATCGAATGGGATCCATAAAAATTAGCGTGCCCAATCATCATGTTTATCTACGAATGGAGAACGCGAATTTTTCTTGCAGAATGCCCTCTTAATGCATACAACGTAGGAACGAACAGAACCGTGAGTCCTTTCTCAAGGAACGCGGTCCTCAGTGGGAGGACTCAAACGATTAACTGATAAAAATTCGAGCTGCTTCTAAGCATCGAATATCGTGTCGAGCGAACCGTCGCGCCGCCGATCATTCAGTGGGTCCTTCAGCGAAATTTCGTTAGCGCTGCTCGTGGCAGTTCTGCAGCATATTTCAGCCGAGCTGTGGTGAGTCATGCCAGGTGTTAGCATTGACTGAGATGAGTCATTGAAAGTTGAGACTTCGTTCACGGTAAAACGTATCTGGCAGACCGGTCGACAGGCTCGCTATCTGTATGCTTGGCTGGCTCCGGGCAAGAATGGCAGTTTCTCGGCGAACGAATCGACTGGCTGTATGCCAGACAATTAAGCACGGGCCCAAACCGAGGCGTGAATGCACGGATGAATAGAAATATCTCCAACCACTGTCTCTTCCACGTGTAGCTTTCGAGGAAACAAACGCCTCACGTCGTCGTCATATTCGAGATGGCTCGAGTGTGATCGACCGACATGACTAAGTAAGCCCTCGGGCACAAAGGGGCTCATCTCAGCTCACGACAGCTAACAGGACACATAGATTTAAGGCTCTCGTATTTGGTCTTAATATTGTCGAAACTGGTTGTCCTTTGTTCCACGGATTTATGCTTCAACCGCCTGGTACGACGTAGTACGACTCCCTTGACCGCGAATACCCGCGGAAAACTCCAGACCAGCGAGAAAACATTTGGAGTGCCCCCAGGACGGATACCACGCATCCGGCCCTCTCACCCTTCCAGTTGAGCAAGGAGTCCATTCAAGAAGGCCGCTCCCCAAGCCTCTATGGATCAAAGACGGGTAATAAATCGAACGCGAGGTGTCTTCTTCGAGGAGGGAGGGGAAGCCAGCGCAAGCGGCACACTCACTCTGATCTTGCTCGAGAACTCCGCCGTTTCCGCTGGGCGTAGGCAGGATATCGCTGGCTGAAGAACGTTGCCGATGATCCTCCCAAGGTGCCATTGAACTGGCAGACATCCGTTAATTTTGTTTGAGTCCTGAAACAATTCCGAAACATCAAGTCAAATCTGCACACGAAATGAAGCGCTATGGTCAGAAGCTTAGAATATGAATCATTGTACATGATAACCGCAATGTATGTCATTTCTCGTGGTACGAAAATCAAACTCGCTCAGAATTTCCTGCATTATGTCATGGATCGAGTGATTTTGTCGTAACTTGTGTCCACGATTGCCATGAGGAGCCGATGCCCGTCTGATGCTGTTGCCGAGAAAATAAACGACTTCGAAAGCAACGATGAGTCATCGCGACTCGGCCGCAGCGAGAACGCTCGGTCGAATGGCTGTCGCCGAACAGAAAAAAGCGTAATGTGGAACTTGGAACGTTCGTAGTCGAGAAGGTCGTCAAGTTGTTCACGGACGCCATGATTCGGGAATTCCAGAAGCTCGGTGCGTTGCGCTCAGAGGCAAAAGACACGCGGGCCGAGAATCGAAAAAACGCTCCCTTTGCATCCCATAAGGGGCTTGCAAGTTGCCATCGAGCGGCCCAGGTGCGCCGCCGCTTCCGGACCGCGGCGAGTCTCTCCATTAGACCACCGCGCCGTTCCAAATGTTTCTGACCTTGTGAATAGGGACCAACAGCCGCAGATTAGGGCAGTTCAAAGGTTAAGATACAATCCCGGCCTGGTCTTTCGGCCTCGCGTGAGTCGGTAGTACATAGCACGTAGTTACAGGAGAGGGTCCTCACGCGAGTATCCATTCAGGTCGTCTCCGAGATTCGACCGAATTGGAAGCTCTTGAAGCGGGGCAAAATGTTTTCTAAAAGCCAGATTAGATGATGTTTCCGAAAGAACACTTCGAATTCGCGGAGGTACTATCGACTCGACCAATCAGACTTCAATAGAAGCAGATAAATTAGAATTGCGCAGATTCAGACGAGGTTCCAAAACAGACCGATCGATGGCTACAAGGGGTAGTTTCCGCCGACGACATTCGATTAGTCTCGGAGAGAATAGCCGTGGGCGTCCAAATCGACGGCAGCTCCTTCAACAAGAGAACTCCGCATCAAAGAGCCTTTGGTATAATGCATAGGTCGTCGTGAGTCTCGTTGAGACTCGCTCCGGGAATAGATGCCCCAGAGGAGGCGGGAGTGGTCGGCAAACACTGCCGTATTCCTGCCGTCCTCGGGTCCGTTCAGCTTATGTCTATCTCTCTCTCACACGCTCGGAGTCAGCGCGTCCAAGATGGACGATTCGAGAGCAGAGAGCTCTATGAGCCCCGTGAAACATAATTCCCTAAGGCATGACTTCCTTTTCCTGATCCCGCCTCCTTTGAATGGGGAGCACTGACCCTTTTTCCTTCGAACTAGCTTCACTCGCCGAAGAACTTTTCCGTCTGGACGGGTGGAACGGCGCGAAGAGAGCGTCTTTCGAATCATACATCAACGAGCGCAAAAATCCCGAAGATCTCCTGGAGCGGGAAATAACAGCGTTTTAAATAATCCGTCTTGGACAAAGAAGCGAATGGCTCCGATCCGGACGGCCGGTCATCGAAAATAATAGCATCTGCTGGGATAAATCTTGCCGTCGCATCGTTTCAGATTTCCTCGTATCGGAAACGCCGAAACGGAAGTTGTTTTCGCCAGGACTTAAAAGGCTTGCTCACCTTTTCGGCGGAGGATCCGTCATGGCTGGGCTGGGCGTCGACGGCTTTCTTTTATCGAGCACGGAAAACATCTTCGACGTGTTCAGGTTGGGTTTCATCAGATTGAGTTCACTGAAAATCGAGGAGAATCTCACTCAGTCACCTTACCGTCGCATAGACCTTGGATTCTATCTAAGCAGGACACGCATTGCCGAACACCTCACGGAATCTTCTCAGGATCTGGGACGGTCCCCGTTTCTCGAGTTCCATTTTCACTCTACAGAATTGGACAGCATACAGACTGGGGATAATTGACCTATTTCTTCCGAACGCCTAAGCCCAATGCATGACATACACCTGCGAGAGCTTCTTTTTTTGTTTACTCATAAGTCAAATGTCCAAGTCTGTCGAAGGGTACGTCATGAGTTACGTCAGACACGATCGTACCCGGAGCTAGCGGCTGAGCTGTATCGGTCATCGAAAGTGGAGCGGGACGACTTCATCCGAATTTTGTGATCGAGTCACGCTAGGTAGGAGCTGATTCACGAGTCTCGTTCGAACAACAAACGAAACGAAGCACCCGAGACTTCTGAAGTTCTGGGAGCAAGACTGCGAAGACACAACGTCCGATGACGCTGCGATCTTCGGAACTTCTCCAATCTTTTCCCGTTTCTCCTTGACTTTTCCACCGCAAACCTCTTCCAAAACGAAACGGCCCGCGGAGAACTGACTGAGAGCAGGGCCGTTCAGAAATGCGCGGATTGCCGAGGAAAGATCGGCAGGAAGTCGAGCATGACCGACTATCCATGCACGGGCTCTTGACATTGCTGCTACCTGGGAGCACTGACTGAGCGGAATCGACTTCCTCCCTCAACGAAGCGGCCTGATCTCAGCTCCCGCGATTTCAACTTCAACTGAATCTGCTGCGATTTGCTAATTCCCGGTGGAGAATCGAACTAACCTCAGTGTCGGCACGATGCGTGATTGGTGCACATTTTCGTGTGCCCGTTTCCTTGTGTAATTCGGTGGCGCTACCCCCGCTCACGCAGAAGCTGTTGAAAAGAATGAGATTGTAGAATTATTCTCTCGCAGCAATCGGAATGCATTCCGTCGATCCCCACAAGGTCCCCGATTGGGCGCCTTCTTTTCGCTCTGGCCCATCGACGGATGGGAGTTTTCGCCGGAGGCACCCTCGCTACCTAAAGCATTCAAACGTTGGCAATGACCTTCGAGAGATTATTACCTACTTCTATTTCGAGTTCGTGCATTTAATTTCTGCGTCTATTTGGAGTTAGATTGCATCGGTCGAAGATCTCCTTCCCTTCTCGGACGTTCCGCGGATGCCTAATGGTTCCTAAACCAGCTGGTCAGGTCGATAAGTTGGTCTGTGCCCCTATGGGACTGATGACACTCCTCGTCGCGGCCCGATGGACCCCGCAGTCGAGACTGATCGTCTGAGCTCCGCGAATAATTGGCATGTCTCCATTATTTCCGAAAGCGATAATCATGCCCGCCTCGAATTCCGGGGAAAGAATTTCCCTCGATTCTTATTCTGCGGGGATCGATTGTCGATCGCTCGCGCTTCACCGTCAAGGTCCCTCAGACGTATAAAGGCGGACATAGTGCGGACCGTCAATGATCGTGCATTCTTATTCCTCGGCGAATCGATTCTCGCAAACCCGATCACGATTGGATCATCGTCGGCGTGGGAAGCTTCGGTTGCAAAGTTCAACTCAAGTTCTATCAGCGGAGGCTCTCCAGAAACCCAAGTTAAATCGTAATTGAATCGAAATCGCAGAACGACATCGGTAGGACAATCAAAGGTTCGGGATTAGTCGATTATTGGATATCGGGGTTGAGGTGAGGAAACTAAATGCGTTTCAGAGACGTCCACCGCGAATTTGAGACGAATCGATTCCGACAGTATGACAATGTTTGGCTGAGGATGGCTGTACACAAACACGTACCGGGTGGTCTGACATCACGCGGGCCCGGATTTCACGAAACCCTTATCACGACTGCTCACCGCCGGCAGCCTCAGTCTCACAGGACGGTACGCCGGTTTGAGAACCCGGATTTTTTCGAAGCGATGCTTCAGGAACCGCGCTCAGGCTCCAGAGATCACCAAGCGACCCCGACATGCCGACCGGAGTCACAAAGGAGGAGTAAAAGGAGATCAGGTCCCCACATCCGGTGCAGGGTTCAGATCATCAGACTCGAACTGCGGGGAAATCAAGGGAAGGAAGTATTGAACTTTCCGGGACGTCCTCTCACAGAATGAGTGGGAAAAACTCACGTTTATCGAAGGCCGCCGCAAATTGATCTCTTTGCCCCGAATCCGAAAAGAATCCGGAAGAAAGCGAGAATCCGAGAGATTTTTCCTAGATTCGTGAAGCAGCTGCGATAGAGCTTGCACGGAACCACACCGCGTCCTCGAGAGGCTGCGTTGTTCAAAAATAATAATCAACGCGGGATTCGCTGAGCTCCGAGCTGAAAGTCGGCTGAGCTTCCAGCTCTTTTCGAGGAATACTGAATGACTCGTCGCAAGTTCGTTGGCTGTGATTTTTCCACGACTGATTCTAACAACCGACTTTCGCCTCAGCCCCGCGGAAATGCGAACGTGATTCGAAAGTTCTCGCTGCGAAGTGCTTCTCTTCGATCGTCTTGCTTTTCTAACCACGTCGGAGCGGAAATATAAATATCATTCCATTCTGCTAGACTTGCGAATGATCAAGTGAACTTTTGCTGATCTCAGCTCTCCACGGGTCCCGCCTCTCCCAGAATAATAATAAGAATGAGATTCCGATGATAATTCTACCAATGTTCTCCGAGGCGAAAATTTCGCCGAAAATTTCTTTCGCCGCTCAAGGATTTGTCCAAAGCGACATTTGTGGGCTCCTGCCCAAGGGATGACTCATCGAGTCGGCCTCTGTCAGCAGGGCCTCCGATCAGCTACAACAAATCCACTCCAATCGTAAGATTCATATATTCCGCTCCTGCTCTCAATATGTCTCCTCATTGACAGCGAGCCCACAGAGTCGACCATGCCTACGATCTCCAGAAGGGGAATATTCCAGCGGACGGTACCGAGGGAAGTCCAGAACGCCGCGGGAAAAGAATCCCATCTCGACAGCGGCTAATACAACAGCTGTCACAGGTTCCCTCGAACTCTTATGATTCACCTTCAAGTTTAAGATATATCTGCGGTCTATTGATATCCTGATTTGTTTCTCAGAAATCGAAGCGACCCATGAGCCGGCGAGGATCCTGGGCTGTAGACGCGAAGTCAGTCCAGAGCATTTCCCTGAACTTTGAAACGTGCGAGCAAACGCCGGTGGACGTGAGCGATAAACGTCGGTCGACCGCCTGAGTCAACGTTCCGCGCTCAGGAGTGGAAATAGTGTCTCTACTAACCACTCGTATTCTCGAAAGCACAGAGCGCATACCCTTGAAAGAAAAATTCATCTCTCGTGCTACCTTTGCTGTAGCAGTATATCCCGAAAAAAACGATTCCAGTTCGTGCTCCAACCATCAGGTGATGTTCGACATGATTCCCATGGTCGCAGGTCCACTGTCACGTCTCTCGAATCTTCAAATATTTGCACATATCACCATGGCTTAGAACATAATCACTGTTCAACTGCGACTTATCGAGCCCACTTCGGAGAAAATAAACCAGAACGTAATCGAACGGCACAAATTCTAGTTCGATTTCGTCAAACGAGGCAGGATGATGCCACTTTGATGATTCTGCCGCTGCTGGCAACCGATGCACGAAGGTACCTAGCAGCCGTGGTAACCGCGACTGCTGTTGCCGGCAAGCTCTGACACTCCCGCGAGTGGCAAGGGACCTCAGAAGGCGGAGGAGAGTTCATCATCATCCTCAACAACGGCAGAAACATTAGCAACAGCGTCGACCGCAAATGTCCACTACGTGAGGGCATTCATGTCGGCAGACCAATGCAACTTCTGACTCACAGACTCGCTATTCCCCCCTACCTGGGTGCTCAAACGCTTCTCCGCTAGAGCATTGTCACTTCTCTCCGCAGCTCTGGCACACTGTCTCCTTCGTAGATTCAGGCTGACACTCGCATTTCGATCAGTCAGCCATGAGCGAGATCCTCGCAAGGGTTCCCGGACTCACACGCGTGAACCGCTATCTTGTCCAACAGATTCCAAAACACCATTGAAACTAGAAACTCGACTTGGATCTGGACGGCCGGCTCCGAAGGCGTGGCAATTGCGGCCTACTGCTCGCATAATAATTGGAATACTTTCATAGGTTCCATCTCTCGAGAGAAGGTAGAAAGAAAATGAGAGAGGAGGACGCCAGCGATGCTCTTGTTAAGTTCCAGCGGCGAGTTGATCCCCGATCAAATCGATGGGTGATAGGAATCCATCCGCTCACTTCTTTCGAATACGAGTGACCGGAAAGCTCATTACCGAATCACAATGCAATAAGCTCTCCATCATTATCGGATATGAAAGTTGGCACGATCAATATCAGGAAAGCTCCTTATCCTCGGGCTTATCAGCAGATCAATGAAGAAGGAGGAGGGAGGCATAGAGAACTCGATACAAGACGCGGGGCGAGAGTTATGAGAGAATGAGCGTGTGACCAAGGATCGACTCTTGGTCTTGTGGTCAATACTCATGCACGACACAGAAGTGTCTCGCGACGCATACTGGTCAGAGCTGTCCGCGCAATTCTCAGAAGAATGAAGCACAGTCCACTCCATCGATCAACGCATGTTACGAATTCGAGATGGCTCGCGGAATACGATATTTTGCTTCTAACGAGTCCCGAATAAAGTGTAGAAACAGTCTTTGGGCTCCCGACTCTCGATTTGTCACACAGTGGCGGAAAGAGTATGTCATTGAGTAAGACCGATCCTATCAGACTTCGAGAAACGCAACCCTCGGGGTTGTCTCTCCAATCTCATCTAATCGATTGGAAGCTCGAATCTCCGATGAGGAAAGAGCATAGACGATGAAGGAGAGAGGAATTTGAGAATTGACTCGACTTTCGTGATTTCTACGTCCAGTTCGAGGAACGTTTCTCTTCCCGCTCGAGAACATCGTGCCAAGGAACGCAATCACGGTGGCACGGTCCTATCGCTTTCGAATGAGACAAAAGAGCGGCAACAGTAGAGAAGAATGCAAAGATGTTTTGTACAGGACCACTGCTGAGAGTCGCTGAAGGTGCGAGCTCTTGGGCGAGACTCCGCGCTCTCTGCGAGAGAAATTCGATTACGGTATCCAATCCGATGTGATCTTGTCGGGTCAGATATCCCGGGAAAATTCACCTCCACGTTCAAGGAAGCTCAAGCGACGTCTTCCAGAAACGAACGCATGTCAGATAGTTCCAGAATCTCTCGCGCAATCGTCGAGCGCTGTTACTACTCATTCGTTGCCGTTTCCTCGTTCTATCGATGTCTACGCGTCATGTTCTAGATTCGGGCGGTAGAGAATGATCCGAAGTTTTGAGCGGAAGACGCTCCGAGCTACGCACACGAAATCGACGGGAGGTCGCCGCGAGACGGCTTTTGTTCAGATTTCTTGCTTTCGAGATGAGTAGACATTTATTTGACATCTTGAGCAGGGATTCCTAATTTCCCCCGGTGGAAAACCAGTTCGCGTCATGGGAAATCAAACACACAACGAGGGTGTGACTCGAGCAGGATCCAACAGTCGGATCTGCCCCCTTGGGTGCACACGACTCACGAAGCGAGATTCGAAATCTAAGTGTTCCGGCTCCGAGCAACAACCGTCGATTTTATCTGCTTTCGTTCCCAGACTTGACACCTCATCCCGGAACGGTAGACAATCACGATGATTCCCGAGCGATGTGTTCATGCGATTAATATCAGAGTCGTCCGATCGGGGGAAAAAACATCTGAATCGCATCTGAGAGAAGCTCCGCAAGTCGACGGATGTCCATACAATCCAACGAAATTTCCACAATCGTGCAGCTGCATTAAAATCGTCATGAGAAGACGTGGAACAATCACGGTAGTCGATAATACCGACAGGCCGACTATTACGAAATCTGCCTCGACACGAGTCTTCGAGACACCGAAGACGGAAAGTTGATGTTCCGTATTGTTTTCCGCGGATGTACGTATTTGTGGGCTGCCACGTACTCCGGAACCCAAGGAGGGCATTGCCCATGGTGACCAGAACGAGCTCGTAGCAAGCTCAAAAAACTTCTCTCGCATTCGAGCCCCGTCTCCCGAGGATTTTCCATTTGATCTCCCCATCGCTAGAATACGAGTATACGATGAGAATCTAATTTACGAGTTGGATGTTCATCTCGAACTGAGTCAGTCAAAACGAATCTAGACGATTCGGACTTTCTGATCGCAAGAGACGCTGACGAACTCGCTGGGAGGATAGAATTCGTAAACACTCCAGAATCATATCCGTCTCGTTCCTAGGCAACGGATAGACGCGAAAACTTCTGAGAGATCCTCTCCCATCACACACTAGCGATTCGGAATGTCCGTTTCAGGCGAGGAGTAGATACTGAATAAGATCGCAAGCAGATGGATGAGAAGGGATATCCATGAGGGAACAAGGAGAGGAAAGAGATGCTCGAGTGGCTCTAAAAAGTTGAATGATGGCCGTCTCCTTCTCTTCTCCTCTCGCGACGGCGTTTCCCAGAGACGTGAAGCTGATTAAACGTTTCCGGGCTTATCACGTCTCGACTCAGCGGACGTCATGAGGCGGAACTGATCTCAAACGCATTGATTCGATCCTTTGAAAATTGCTTCTTCGAAAGTTGCCCCCGCAATCCCGCGGGGAGGCGGAGTTCAAATCCCAGCTCCCAGACCCGCGCACCTGCGTACCTCTGGGAGCTCCTAAACGAGAACATATTGTAAAACGGTAATGCCATCTAAGAGTGCGGATCGCAAAGCGTGGTGAATTTTATTCCTGCCTATCTGTTCCGAAATGAACAGCTCGAATATGAAGTTCTACCTTCTTCGATCCGCGTCGTATCGGGCGACCGCGAGAGATATCGAAGAGAAGCGGCAGGAGCTACGAACGAGAGTTACGGCCAGCGGCGCGACGGCGCGCACGACAGAGAGCTTGTCATCATATCGTGGGTGTGGCGGAAGGAGAATTTACACAATACCGTTCAAGCTCCGTGACGATGGCTTCTTGTGCTGTAAGCACTGCGATTCCGGCAGTAGCTGAGAGGGCAGCGATTTCGATTTTTCAAATTTATCCATCGCGATCGTTTCATGCTTCTGACTCTGAGCTCGGCTGATTTCGGATCTGAACGCTGTCATTCATCGAAAACTGAATGCTCCAATGGACCGTCTTGAGGCCTGAAGCCCTCAAGTATTAGGTATTTGTTGGAGGAAATTCCCGCTATAAGTTGGGGCAACGATGTCAGAGATCTGCTCACGATCGTCGCTACGGATGATAGGAGCACTCATCACTCGATTCCCAGTAAGCGTGATGGGAAAAAAACGCCGATCGTCATGAGTGGTTTTACCGGAAGTTTGACGCGGTCAGAAGTTCCGTGATCTTCTCTTAGAGGCTTAAACGTGAAACGAACTTTTCTCTTGACCTTGTGGTCCGTGGGTTTCAACACGCAACGACTGCCGAGTTGAGAGAGATTTCGATTTCTGTCGAAAGAATCCCGACCGCGTTCATGACGAGAAAACTCAGCTGTCTGATGGCAATATCAATCGGATCGGCCGAGCGTCATCTCTCCGTGAATTGACGTCCAGGAATTCAAACTCGTCGAAGCGAACGATTCTCTGTAATGAGCCTCCGGGTCACAGAAGTCATTCGAGTTCGCTACATAGTGCTATGAAGGCGGAAAATCACAGAAGTAGAGAGCGCTCCAGAGGCGCGATTTCTGAACGGAGGAAGAAGCGGCTTCCGACGGGTTTTTCCTGCAGTTTACGCCCAAGTGCCTGAAGGAAGCTGATGATTCTGTGTGCGTCATAATTGTGTTGTGATGAATACCGCGTTAACCCGCGCTCTTCGGTTTGCAGACGCGTGTAGCTCTTTGTGGCTGTTCGCGTCCGTAAGTGTTTGTGAGAGTCAGTGTCTGCCAGTGAATGGATGAGACAGAGCCGAAAAAACCATGAACTGGTAGACGGACGCGGAGATAGGAAGGATCTTAGAAGACCCTATGCGGGAAGTTGTTATCCGAACAGCAGCCAGAGCGTAAAGTTTCTTTATAAATTGGTGTCGAATATTTTTTCGGCTGAAAAACAATTCCTGTCCGACATCGTTGCATCCTCCCCGCAACATGTTTTTCGTTTCCGCCGTTTAGGAAGCGAAGCACTTCTCACGGTATCAACCACAGACTGATCTTGTCCCTTCCCGGATATCGGGAGGGCTCGCTCAGGACGTACCATAAGTATGCGATATCCCTTTGAGTCCTGTTTGATTTCGAATCGTCGTCAGCCCCGAAGTCCCGCTCCCTGCACGACCGTCCAACGGAATAGTTCCCGTCGTCGACCCGAAATGTCAGGTCCAAGGGGATTCCCACTAGGATCTAACCCAACTTCCTGACCACGTCAGGGTACTTCTCACTGCCTAGTGGTTCCGAGATCGCGGAGAGCCAATGACGGAGTTGGGTACCCTTTGAAGCGAACCTCGCTCGGTACGCAGCGAGCGAAACTAGATTACCCATTCAGCCCACTAGAACACCCACTGTCCGAAACAGAAACTTCTAAATTCGAAACTCAGATTCCGACCCTGCCGCAACGATGTCAAGGTGTAAGCCGACGACGCGTCGCTGCCTACGGGACTATCAGATACGCTCATTGCCGGGAAGACGGATGAATCCGGGACCGCTGACCGCAAGGGGCAGCGGGCCATCGGAGCATTGTCTCGCAAAGAAATCGATTTAGTTGGCGACGACTGTCGTCGTCGTCGGGTTGCCCACGCTCATTGAACGTAATCACGTGATTTCGGAGCCGTTAATCCTCGATGCGGGGCGTCCAGCGAGCGATGACTTTGACAACGATCAGTCAGCCCCTGAACGCAGAAGCACCAGCAGAAGCCCCGAGGTAAGATCGCGATGCCGAGGGCAACCACAAGGGCCACGGCATGCGAGACGGAACTCCCACCAAAATGAAAGGCTCTAAAGGAGAAAACTTAACGTCAACATAACCGCCGAGCGCCCCGATGGGAGTTGGGCGTAAATTTCCGTGTTCAGCGAACGGGTTGAACACCACGACGATTATGCTGCTGATGGCTTTAGCACCGTACATAAAGCTGATGATGATTAGACTTGTTGGCGTTCTTGGGGTGACGGGGATCGTTGTCACGGCTCGCGTTCCGAGAACCGTTTGCTTTCTGTCAAGTGTTGGGCTTCGAGCCCTCTTATCCGGCTTGCCGGCTGTAATTAGCTACCCGGGAGGCTGCCAGACTGATTGACAGAATGCCTGACTGACTGAGTCAGCGACTGACTCACCGAGCGACGGAACGACTCCCTCACGGGCAAAGGGACTAACGGACGGACTGACCGACTGTGTTCTGGCCCTCAGTTGAGGGAGGACGGACGGACGGACGGACAAACATGGTCGGTAACAAGCGTGCGATTTCGACACGTTGACGGTGACTCCGGTGATTCAGAAACGTGCCACTTTCGAAAACCGGCCTTTCTGTGCCATTCAGCGGAGGGTCATTACCGTCGGCAATGTTCACAATTCACAATTCACCCACAATCGGGCGGATGGACATCGGAGTGGGCTTCACGGCCGCTGGGGTTTCAGTGGAAAGTCGTTCGGAGCGCGCCGATATCTTTTTCCTCAAGTTTCGCTGCGTATCCCTCCTTGCTTGACATTAACGGAGTCGAGTCGCTCCACGTTTTTTTCCTCTTTTTCATGTCAGTCCTCAGCGATTCGCATCGCGTTGTCGTGTTTTAAAATGTAATCCGATTTTATCCCGGAGTTTTCTCCTCCCGACTGGATTTAGCCCATGCTCTTATTGTACCAGCCCAACACTTCGGTACGGCCCGCTTCAAAAATTCAATCCGCAGTTCCCGTACTTTTTCGATGTCAGCAGCGGCTTCTCGACCGCTTCTTCCAAGAGCTATCTGAGAAAATTACGGTCCCGAGCTACAGGAAGATCACTGCGAATTCGCGTGACAGCTGCCGCCAGCACCGATGCGATCTGAAGCGTCGGTTTTTGAATCACTCGGCTTTGTGGACGCTCTTCACAGAAAGATGCAAGGGACTTTCAATCCATCCGACCCCAACCCTTTGTTTTATCCCATTCATTCACTAAAAGCTCTTTTGTCTCTCCCTTAGAGTCATCCACTGGTATTCATCTTTGTTTATTGATAGGAGCATGTAAGCGGTCGCTTTCGGCCATTCACTCACTACTAGGCTTGCACATTCATTCGAACAGCGATGCATCGCATTTTAGAATATTATTCTTCCGAACAATAAGAGCGCTTTCGTAACTCTTGGCGGAGAAACCTCGCCGTCACGTTTCTCGCGCGCGCGACCCATCGAGAGAAAACTGAAATCATGTGCGAATCTAGAAACCATCAGATGCCACTGACTCTTGTGGCTCGGGACAAAGTCGGTAGACATCCAAGACGAATGCTCGAAAATGCATTTCCGCCGCAACGTATAAACTGCATTTACGGTTCCGGAACTCGTTGCGTAAGTATACGATTGTACGAGGGCGGCGGTGGCGGCAGTTCATCGGCTTGAAATAAGTAGGATGTCGTTTCGTAGGCAATGAATTCTCATATTGAGTAATAGCGTAGACGGAGCAGATACACGGGAATACACACGCAGATGGAAATGGTCGGCTTCAGTAGGATCCTTTTGTGGGATAGTGATCGATGTTTCGCGAACATCAAATGTTCGTGAAGATCTATCGAAGCATAAAAACCATCAGTTTATTTCTGTCGAATCAAAGCTTTCAGCCCGTTGTAATCTGAGGTCAGTTTCTCCAAAAATAAACTCGACTTGTCCATCTGAGCTCTTACGTCAGAGTCCGATCCCTTAACTGACCAAACAGAGCTCCGCTTGAGTTGTTGACGACGGGCTAGGAGCAGTTCGAAAGATCTCTATTTCTAATGACACAGAAGGCATCGCGCGCACAACGAGGGAACTTCACGCAAAGTCGATCGTAGCCGGTCCTGTGTGTCTGCTGGGAGACGTCACGCCAGCCGAAATTTATAAGGATAAAGGAGCGAACAGGAATATAGGAACCGGAAATTACGGAGAACGGAAGGCGCTATCCCATGCAACGCTCTCTCCTCCTCCTCGATCGGCTCCGTCTCTCCGGTAGACTACGGCGCCTCCGTCAGGTGCGCCGGCCAGGGGAGAACGCAGAACCGGTCAGCATTGATGAAAACTCGGAGCTCGGACACAGTACTCGAGAGAAATACGCTCGATGATTAGAGCAGGGTCATATTGCCGAACACGAGGGGACGCATTCGGAGCACATGGCGTCGGGTTGGAGCACGGAGCGGCAAGCCGGAGCTCCGGGCGCACGCCTGAGACACTTGGTCGAAGAGAGAAGTGGCGATCCGGAACGCATGTGCTCCATGTAACCCTGTTGCGGCGTTTCTTCTATAAGGCGTTCAACCTTCTTGGCTGAAGTTGTGTGTAGAATATTTCGTTTGCGAAACTCAGAATAACTTCACCAGCACTTCTATAAGTCAGCAAGCGCTGCGCCCAAGGTTAATGCAAGCTAGCATGAGCAGAGGTCTCGTCGAAATATTGCTTCTTTCAGAAGAAAAACTCAGCAAAAACTTTTGACGATCGTCGGTAAATGGGGAGAAGATCCCAGCTATGTCATTGTTCCTTCCTCCCCTTCTGTTCAGAAGGCCCGCAGATAGGACGTTACACGTAGTGGGACTGGGCGCGGTTCGGGTTAAGCCGGTCTACTAAGAGAATTCGCCATTCGCTGGCATGTTTTTTTCATGGTTTCAAGGGAACAAATCCCTTCGATTTGCTTCTCCGCAGGGTCTCCGCTATCACTCGGAGACCGTTTGATATGCACGGAAGGAATCACTAGAAATTACTGCCCAGTGCGTGGCAGATTTCTGTTTATGTTCTGGGGGCCATGCGCTCGAACGTCTCAGGCAGATGGATGCGCCAGAGAACGTCTGTTACCCGCACGCTGATCCCGCTCGCGGATGCTCCAGCGTGGTCCCAGCTTTTTTTGGAGAGATCGAACATGAATAGCAAGAGACGAATGTGGAACGGAAATTTGAAAGTCGATCGCATCGATCCCGTACGAGTCCGGGAGTTTAAATGCCCAACGGCGCTGTTGTCAATTCGAATCGACTTACCGGTTGGGGCACCCTCTACTGTGCGAACTACTTATCCTCCGGAGAGAGATGTCGACTCTAGACCAGGGTACATGGCCTCATCCTGCCGAAATCAAATAGGTAGTGTCAAGGATTTCCTCCCGGGAAACCACGATTAACACCACCACAAGTCACACCACTACCACCCAGTCGCTCGGACTCACAGTCAGTTTTGAAAATTTCCTTCGTTCGATAACAGATGGCGCTTCTGGTGAGTGAAATCGTGGAGAGAGATCGGCGGGTCGGAAGGCTCCAAAGCTGTTGCTTTGTCGGTCCGCTACTAGCGTGTGGATTCCCTTGGTTCTGGGCCTATACGAACTTCTGTTGATGAGTCATGCGCGAGTGGGCCGAACGGAGCGCTTGGAACATTCAAACAGAGGTCATAGCTCTCCGCAGCGATTCCGTCCGACCGTCATGGGGTCAAGCCCGAGTCGCTCAGGAGGAGCTCCCGAGGTCTATGAGGCGTTGCTACATCGATTTCGGAATTAGCCTGAAAATCACTCTCTGTTGCGTCACCTTCGCCCTCGATCGGTACAGTGCCGGACGGGACGAAGGTTCCCGTCGCTCTCGGATCGAGCCCGGAGGTTGCGATTCTCGCCGCTCACCCTCCGCTGCCATCCGATTGACCGCTCCGAGGAGTGGGCCCGACCTGCCGCCAAAGCCTCCGGGCTGTCATTCTCGCGGCACAGCTACACGGGTCTGATAAACGTCACTCTCTCTCGCCTCGAGCGATCTCTGGGACAACTACAAACCATGGACTCGATGTCACGCGGCTGTCGCAACAGGTGCGACTACAAACATTGCCGACCCAGCTCCTAGAAGAGGGCGAGGCAGAGAGCTCTGAATGATGCACGGGTTGACCGACTGTGTTTTGATTCTCGAATAATCTCGAGCCTCGGTGGACCCCCTCAAAAATGACCATGCCGTTTATCAGGTTATTAACCTGATCGATTGCTGCTCGCACGGGAGTAAGGTGAGGGATCGATCTCTGCTGCCAGCCGAACCCTCTCACGGAATCTCTTCCTTGAAGAGGAGGTTCTTGACCTTGGTACGCCCGGGAACATGTGCCCGCGGGGCTCGTCTACGGGAGCGAAAGCTCATAGATAATTCCCCGAACATTGAAGCATGGCTCCGGCCTCGAGAATACATGATGGACCTTCATGACATTCCCTGGGGGGAGCACCGCCGAAATCATGGGTCTCCGAGTCCTAGCCCACCGTCAGACCCTGCATTTCTAAAGGAGCAGACCGGGAAATGTCAGCTCGGATCGACATGTCTTCACGATGCCGATCATCATTCTGTTCATATAGATGAGAGGAATGGATGTAAGGTATCAAAGTTTTTATTCACAGGTAAATTACATTTTTGTCATGCATCGCTGGATTCCTCCGAAAGTATCCGCTTCGGTGGATCTTGATTCAGAGGGAGGATGGGGGATAAGCTCCCGGTTGAATCGGGAGCGCGGATCAGTCTATCCCCGTTCAAGGGATCGTCTCGAACATCATGAATGATGATATCAAGTCATTAGGATATTGCGTTAGTCGCAACGGCTGGTGCCGCTGCTCTACTCTCATCCCAGAGAGACTAGAAATCAGGCAGGGAGTGGGGCGTGAGGCGAACAAGAACCGTGCACCTCCAACAGTTTTTCGATCGACATTTCACCCCGAAGATTTTGTAAAATTCGAGCAGAGCCCCAATAGGGGAGCACTGACGGAGAGGTTCGCCTCATGACTGCCACACTTCTGGAGAATACGTCCTCGGAGAGAAACAGAATCCAACTATTGGCCCCACTCCCTCAGCTCCCAAGTCTACGAGTTTTGGCTGATATTTCATAGGGACAGAAAAGCGTCCTCATTGACCCGGAACTTTTGTTCGATGCTGCGTCGTGGATAACATAGACGACATATAACGCTTAGAGTCTGTACAAAAGGATCACCAAATTCGAGGAGTTGAGAATTAGAATTCTCGACCCGATGTGTCCTCTCTAGGAATCCTCGAACATTTTGTCGAGATGGATGTTGAACTGTTTGCAGAAATTGAACTGATTGAGCACCACCCCGGGGACACCATTGCCGGCCTGCATGTCGATGAACCACTCGAGGTTGTTCGCCGAAATCGAGTTCATTATGGGCGGATAGGATGGCGGGGGTTTGATCCAAGAGCCGTCAGGTCTCTTCATCCGCTGCCGATTCGAAGCGAAGGTGGCCAAGTAGTCCCGCCCCCCGAGACATCGCAAATGTCTCACATAACAATGTTTAAGCGGAACGTCAGGCTTGAAGGTCTTCCACACGTATTCCTCGAGGTCCGCAGGGAAGTCCATCGTCGAATCTAGATCGTAAACGTAGCTCTTCCCCTGACAAGATTCATGGTAGTAAACCTAGAAGAGGAGAGAGCGGTGTCGTGAATACCGACTATTCGCATGAGGTAGTCACTCAGATGGGATCTGATCGAGTGACTGATAAATCTGATCGATTAATTGAAGGAAGGTAGCGGCCCCCCTGTTCAACCCACCAAAATGACATGGTAGTCCCAAACCACGAAGCCGTCGTTGTTCTTATCACCGGCAGTCTGCCTCCAAAGGGGGATACTCTGATACTTATTGGAGATGAATGTTACGAAACATGAGCTCAGGAGCTCTGGCTCGTTATTCTTCACGTATTCGCAGAGTTTGTAGACATTCTCTTCGCAGTAACATGATGTGTATATCAGGTCGGATCGAGGCGGCAGTTTCAGGAATCTTGGTGAAGGAACGATATCCGCTTCCATCTCTCCCTGAAAAGCGGGAAGCGTGTAGGATCAGCTTCGTTCAGATTTCTTTGAAACTCGCTTCTACGCTGGGAAACTCAAACCTCTTTCGAATTCCCGGAGGTTTTCAAAATACCTCAGGGGGTAGAGGAGGCTCTGTTCGAAAGAATTCACGAGTCGCTCTCATTATTTCGTAAACGACGAGTATATTTATTTTTATATTATGTACATATCATTGAGGAACAAAGCCCTCCGACAGGTGAGCTGAGCCTCAACATCCTCGGAGAATGAACTCAAAGCAGGCCTAGTTTCTGTTTCTCCTTGACCTTCTTCTTCACCACATCCATGTTACGCTCGTTCCATGTGCTCTTCCGCAACTTGATCGGTCGACTGCCCACATATTTTCCATTGAGTTCGCGCATCGCTTTGATGAAACCTTGGGGCTCCTTGAAACTGACGAATCCGTAACCTTTGCTCTTGTTGGTTCGTTTGTCCCGGATGACTTTCGCTTTAGTGAAGGTTGGATATTTTGAGAATACTCTCGTGAGCATTTCGTCCGTCACGTCATTACCTAAATCACCGCAGAAGATACGGAAATCATCGGGATCCCATTCCACTAGCGAATTGTCTTCCCAAACTTGCTGTCCAGCCATCCGGATAAGCTTTTTAGGCTTCTTCTCCTCCCGGACTGCCGGCGACGTGGAGGGCTGCGATGTCGCCGCCGGAACGGGTAATGTGGTTGGTACTTTCTGAGTAGAGACGACCACCGTCTCGGCGGGCACAATCTTGTTCTTCTTCGCTTCCTTGAGCTCCGCTTCAGCCTTCTTGAGAGCTTTCATGATCTCATCGTTGGCGAGATCCTTGGCTTTCTTCGGAGGCGCACTGTAGACCTTCACTGGAGGCGCGGAGATCGTGGAAGGACTTGGATGGTGCGAATGGCTCATTGACATGGGGTGCATCGGCATTGGCGGTCTCGGCATCATCATCGGAGGAATAGGAGGAGGTCGAATGGGAGCTGCGCGATGCATTTGAGGGGGAATGAACATCACTGCCGGCGGAGCTGGCGGCGGTTGCAAGGCTTGCTGGACTTGAGACATCTCCAGCTCGAAGCGAGTCATCTCTTCCTCGATCTGCCTGCGTCGAAGTTCGTCGTCCATGGCTCTTTGAGTCTGGAATGTGGGAACGGTCAGATGAGATGAGTTCATCTAAAGAGAATAACGTTTCCGAACTTGAACGTCGCTGGACAAGAACAATCCGACGATCCAAGCGAACGATCTGTCCGGCATCTGCTTACCTCTGCGCGGTGGAAATCGAAATTGAGGAATTCCCTCCGACGAAAGGCTCGGGGTAATTTTTGTCAAATCTGAATGCCTCTTTTCCGTCCGTTCGGTGGCGCACGAGCATTCAATCGTAATTGATCCTGAATTCAAAGATTCACGAGTGAACGTGAGACTCACCTCCGAACGGGAGCTTCACAAGATTATCCGCGGTCGTCACCTCTCACTCCTCACTGACTTCGAATATCACTGTCTTCGAAACGGAGTCCAAGCTTTTTATTGTAGTGCGACTCCAAAACATTCGAGGGAACCCTCTCCCCGCCCAGAGGTTTCGGTTCCGGCATGAATGCTCACTCTGCGCATTCCAGAGCAAAACTCGGATCGAGAGTCCATGCCTTTTTCGAAATCGTTTCAATCGGGGTGAGGGGATCGACTCACAGAAGAAGATAGCGAAATACCGATCACTGATTTGAGAGGGGTCCGCGAGGAACCCCCGCTCGAAAAGACTGCCTTTGAATGCTGGCATGTGGGGAAGCTTCACTCTGATCATTAGACTCAAAGGAATTCCTCTTCCAAATTCGTTGGGGGTGGGGGAGGTTCCGCAAATCGGTTGATGGGATTAGTTAATATCGGGGTATGAGTCGATCACGAGGAGGATCGAATTCCTCGGGCCCCACCGTGTTCGTGTTCCCAAGCTGGTTTGCGGGATGAAGCTTCTATCGCCGCCGTGGAGCCCGTGTTGCCGGACGAAGCTTCCCTTCTGGTTTCCTTTTTGCTCCGGGTGTTTAGGTGAGTGGCTTCGTAGCCTGAAAACTGGTTGAAATATTGTGCTTGAACGCCCAAATCTCACAGTAAGAGCGTCGAATTGGAGTCGAGGACCAGCCACTCTTCGGTGTCTCCGGAAATCGCGAAGTTCGTGCCGGTTATCTCGCCCAGAGCGTTCGAGGTCTCGTCCACTGGATCTTACACGTGGTCTGTTTCATTTTCAGAACAAGCACTAACCATGCAGAACGACTCCGGAGAATGTGTGGATATGTACATCCCCAGGAAGTGGTGAGTCCAATGTGTACTTTCATAGGACGTCCCGCAATCGATTGGGAGTGAGCTGGAGGCTGCCCGAGCCGACAGCTCCTTCGGCGCTCGATCTGTTGTTGATATCTTCCCGTATTCGCAGCTCTACTTCCAACCGCATCATCCACGCCAAGGACCATGCCTCGATCCAACTGGACTTGGCTGTTCTCAACGACAAAGGAATCGCTGTAATTGAAGACACTAAACGTTTGGTGATCTGTGGAGCGATCCGGAGGATGGGAGAGTCCGACGACTGCGTCAACCGCCTGGCCAAGGACTTCGGGATGTTGCCGCAAAACCTTTAATAAATAAGTTGTTCCTCTGGAACAAATGACTCGTTTTCACTGTCGCTGGTCCTATGCTGGATGACTCGACATCTCTGCATGGAGAATGGGAATGCGTCGATCAAAGTCAACTCCTTTCACATCCGTGGACCTCGAATTCTCGCGGGTCTGCCGCCTCCTTGAGTTCCGTCTTCGCAGTGGCCTCGGCTCTCACATAGGTCGTTCTCCTCCGCAATGGGGAGCGTCTACATTGTGGAACCGTTCTGGTTCTTTGAGCTACGAGGTATAGAAAATTGAGTCAATAATTAAATTTCTAGTCGCCCCCCTCGATCAGAAGTTTGACGATGGCTCGTACATATTCTTTTTGGAACAAATTTGGTGAGGCGCGAATAATAAAATGGAAAATATATGGCTGAGAGAATGCGATATAGATTCTCTCGTCAACCGTCCATAATCTTGTGTGGTGCTTAGATCATCGACTCCGCACAGACAAGGAACGGGACAGCGAATCCAAGTTTGATTAGGCCTCTGGCCGGCTGACCGGAAGACTTGACGAAGCTTTGGACAATATTTTCAAGCGAATAAATCTCTGTTGGGGGGTCCCCAACTCCTGGAATTCCCTTCTATCCTCTACGGGCGTTTATTCCGTGTGTCGACTTGACGTGCTGGTTAACTGTCTTATGGGAGATCATATTACTGATCACTATAGGGGAGATATCGTGATCATTCCGCCATCGGATAGTTCTGAAAATTCTCTCATGGTATCGGAAACCGGGAAGCATACGATTTTCTGAATCTCCCAATAGGGAAGTAGGTACTCTCTTTATTCCTTCGAGACTAGAATCAATGAATATTGTTGACAGCATCACAAGATCGCAATGAATCTGAGAGAGAAACTGATCCGTCTTCAAAACATGATCCCCACAGGAAACATGAATCGTCCAAAGCGGTCCTACGAGGACGGGGAATATGGGGTCTCGATGTAAATTTCAGACACTCGTTTCCCATAATATGTACAGAACAAGCAATATCAGGTGTTTATGAATCCATGTAAACCCTCGTCTTCGCTGAGACGTCTGACACTTCCACAATACGGGTCATCATCGCTGGAGACGCTTAGAATCGCAGGATTATTTTGAGCACCGTTGCGTCGTCATCGAGAGCCTGACGGAACGCTTGCGCGTGCTGCCACGCGCAGTCGCCTTTGCCACCGGTCATTTCGCATGCGACAACGATATCTTTGGAATTGTCTAAGGAGCCCGTCAATTCTGCAATAGATTCGTGCCGGTTAGAGCTTGGGATCTCGAAGTCGGCTTTCTATGATGAACGATGAGAGCTCAAATAGTCGTGCATATCGGAATATTTCTGCTAACTCACCGTTGTTCCTGACGCATATCGTTGTTCCGTCGGCTATGACGTTGACCACTGCCTTCCCGTTCTCGAAAACATCCGTCTTTAGATAAATTTCTATCGACCGACAGGGCTTGGTGACTTTGAACTGGTACCTGAACAATCCGTATTCCGTGTTCGGGGAGCTGAGAGGGAGGTAGATTTTGAAGCACATTCCGAAAAGAAGACTCCTAACTGCATTAACGAGGCATCAAACATCACGAGGCGCTCATTCTAGGGATTTCGCCACAAGAGAAAACAGGTGCCCCACCGTGCAAGGTACGCCATCTTCCAGTCTTTCTCCACTTTTCTGCTGACATTTATGCAGGTTTCCAACATTCTCGTCCATCCCGTGGTCCTCGAAATCTCCCTCCCGTTCTCTCTCAGCGTGTATTCGTCCCTGTCGATCATCAAGGGGTCCGTCGATTACTCGGGGACAGTCGCAGATCATTTCGTCGAGCAAATCGACTACATGGATACACAATGATACGGATTCGAGAAACGACTCACTTGCTCGAGACGTAAGTTAATTGAAGCTCCTTGACGTCTGGGTTTTTGTTGGAAATCACAGTTTTTTCCGAGGTCTCGTTGCGGGCCAAGCGCCAATCGAGGTCTCCCGAGACTCGCCCCCCGTAGGACTTGTCCTGTGCGTTGTACCTAGTGGGAAGAGAGCTGATCTGAGCACACTGGGAGAGGGATCTTCCAGGCGCAAAAATGGAGCGAATATCTGCTTCGGATTCTGAATAGAGTATTTGAGCTGAAGCAGAAATGTCAAGAAAACTCACTTCGGCGGAGTCAGAAACTCGGTGAGCTCCATGACCCGTCTCCTGGCGATCTTGTCTTTCTCCTCCTTAGAGAGTTTTTCTTGGTATCGTCTTGTGCGGACCTCTTGATAACTTGAGAGAAAACGTCTTTTCAGTCGATACATAGGTGAAAAGGGCGAGTGATTTCACGAGCTTCCGAGGCTCGGAACCCTGCATACGGATTCTACGAGATCTCCGCCAATAAACTTCGAAATCGACTCACTGGATGAGGTCGGTCTCGTCGATAGCTGTTCTCAATTTCATCGTTTTTTCGAAGTCTGTCACGTACCTCCACGTGACATCAGCTGTCTCACACGAGGAGAAAGCCAGGATGTATTTGAGTTTCTTGCCTGAAAAATTCGAGGTTTTCTCGCTCCATTCCGAAATATTGGAACCCCGTATTATGTTCCGGATAGCGGGCGAAGGCCCAGATACCTTCCAACAGAGTCCTTGTTTTGAGGAATCACGAAGTTTGGGAAAGCTCGGGGAAGCGATCACTCACCCCATCCAACTTCATACATGAGCGGTTTGTCTATCTCGGCTTCACAAGCGTCACAATGAAGCCATCGGCCTTGGGCCTCAGACCAGACCTCCGTCCACACATGATCTGTCACGTCGTATATGTACCTGCGACGACTCGGAGTTCAAGCCCGAGCGGAGCCAAGAGCTGTATACGATTGCACAGAGTCCCGGCAGAATGAATGGGTTCTCACCTCGCATCGAAGTCAAGGGCTAGACAGAACAAAGTGAAAACATTAGCCCACTCGCCGCAGCGGCCAACTCGAGTCTCCATGAGTTTCCGCGGGCAGTTGTACCTGGCGGAGAAAATCGACGGCTCAGCTATGATGCTCGTAGAGGATGAGACAGTGAGGGAGGTTGCGGTGCCATTTGCCGAGTTAAGCTAGAAAAAGGGACACATGCATGAGATCCAGGGCATACCTTGGGAATCGATAAGATTTCCGACACTTCGCGCAAAAATAAGACTCGACTCTCTCTGCGAGATATCTCATCTCTTCGCGCGATGGCGGTGTCAGTCCCTGATGATGGGTCTGGACTTTACAGGTTTCACATAACGGTTGGTCGTGCCATGAGAAGAATTCATCCTTAAACCATTGTATCAACTCCACTAGTAGGAGATCCTTTGCGACATCCGGGGACGGGTCTTTCGCAGCGACGCGCGCTTTCAAGGTTTCGGTTGGGACGAGCGATGCAGCTATCGCGCGAGTTTCTTCATCCTCGTAGCGCAAGCATACCTGGAGTCGAAATATCGGCTTAGAGAAAGTTCTCTCGGTGATCCTCATCGATTTTATCGAGTTGACAGAAAACGGCTGAGTATCATTCGAGAATTTCCTGCGCGAAAGTACGCATGTCGACCGAGTTGGTCTGAACCGGCCAAGTCTACCTCGTGAATCGCATCGAGTTCTCGGAGGAACGGATGCTTTTCCATCTGGGAAAAAAAATAATTATCATTGCAGGAGATGCTAGGACGCCTCCTCCCGACGAAAATGTTTACCGGCGCGATCGAGAATAGACTGGAGAATTCGACGGCAGAACAGACCGGTGATGCCGATAAAACGCCAAGAATTACCTCTTCGCTTGAAAAACTCGCCAGTGTAACTTTTTACGGATCACCGATCTAGAAGTGGGGAGGTTGCGATGGTGTAGAAGATTTTTTCTCCAAGTCGTCGTTTCTCGCTAGCGCCGAAGCAGACCGCTGCCGTTCGTTGAATCCGAATCTGTCGGCACTGTTTGCGAGCAGGCCGCACCACATTCTGTTTACCACGGAAACGAGAAAGACTACCACCGAGGGCGCCACTTGATAGCAGTTCGGTTTACCCTTTAACAATCGATTCCGTCATTCATGGCCTAAAGTAATCCTCTCTTGATGTGATGCAACAAACATATATACGAGTCGTTCGCGAATTCAATCGTCATCTCAACTCTGTTGAGCCTCTCCCTCCCGCCGGCCTAAAAGGACAGGGGACGGAGGCACGACATTCCGCGAAAGGCTGGAAATATTTCCAATGTTTCCCTCGGTGGACAGTCCTGGAAAGGGTGATGCAGTTTATCCACCCAAGACCCTTGACGCTGCACTTCTCCGAGGCGCCCTCCGTAGATCCCGGTGGGCTATCTTCATCATGCATTGCTTTCCGTTGAGGCTTTGGTGTCTCAAAGTCCGAATTCCGGCTCCCCAATGCCGCCGACATTGACGCACTGGATGAGGGTATCAGTCGTCAAGGATCGCTCCGAACTCCGAACAGAGGCCAATCTACCTTTTCTCCATGTCTGACACTTCCCTAATTGCCCCATTCTTTTTTTTCTTTCCCCGCGCGGAATGCTCCTTTCGGATCAGGAGTAAGAGAGCGGCGACTCCGACGCGGAGGACCCTTGCCACCCTCAGGGCTTCCCCAAATCAGTCACAGCGACGAATCTAGAATCCTCAGACGTGCGGAGGGCGTTCCGATGCCACGTGGTTCCGAGCATAGCTTGCTGCTATCCATCTAATTTCATCAATGTTCTGTGGAGTTATCCGAGCGAGCGTTCGGAGGATCAGGATCGTCCTACAGGCGACAGACGCCATCCCGGCTTCAACACTACTCCGGAGTTCCGACCTGGGTCTGAGCCGGTCTCACAAAGAATTAATGATGAGCGGCGAGAATTGGTTTTCCGCATGCCATCCTGAGGTAGGAAGTTCCTCAGGTCCCCTAGGCTTGACGCAAAAAATTTCACTCCGGTCACGAGTTTCGTGCCTCGGCTCATCGGGAGCGCTCGGTCCGAGCGGCTCGGAGACACACCGAAGGACCGCCTCGGAACAACCCTGGGGACTGGAATGTATCGTACATTCGAGCACACGAGGGCACAGCCTGAATCATTCCGGAAACCTCGATATTGCCGCAGACTAGACGACCGAGGGGCTTCCCTGAAGTTTCCAGTCTCAGCCCAGCACGAACCCAGCACCATTCCCGGCAGTTGGTCATGGACGAGGCGATTGATATCCTAGAAATATTCACCGATTCGTGTTTGCAAGGTCCACGTCGGTCAGTGAGCCTGCTCCAGATTCATGATTGTCACCGAGGTGCAGGTGCCGAGCGTAAGTCTCGGTTTCTTCGGCATAGGGATACATCTATCATCACCAGGGCCGAGAGCCGCGAGCTCGGACTCAGAAGCCGTAAGCTCCAAGGGAATTACTGGGCAAGTCCCCGCAAAAAGTTCATGGAAGCCGAGAAACGCCGTGAATATTCGGGGAAAGGGCTGTGAATAATTCTCAGCCATGATCATCGCTTATCTACGTCAGTCGACTAGGTCTCCGTCGAGCTCCGGCAATCGGAGATACTGTCGGATGACGTCCTCCTTTGTTCGTTATTGCACAGCTCTCAGTGCACTCAATGCAGTCGATATGTTTCGTAAGGAGCGCTGATTCGGCCATGTGCTGCTTGTTCGCTTCACGCCCCCGCAATCAGTTATGTAAAAATGATTCTCGAACATTGCAGGAGTAGTGTCTCCTACTGTTCGAATAGCCTGAGTTTTTTTCCGCAGAGAGGAGCGATTCCGTGAAAGCTATGTGTCGCCAGGCCGTGGAGTGTAAGCTTGAATCATCGTGTCCTTCGTGTTGGGGAAGCTCGGGGAGATGCTGCAAAACCCGGAGGTCTTGCAGCCTCATGCTACTCAGAGACTCCGAGGTCGGCACCCACGCCTCCAGTGTCAAGGCGCATGTCACCCTTTCTCACCAGCTGCACGGTAAGTAGGAATATTGAATACAGAAGAAGCAGCAGTCGGTTGGTTTGTTAGAGCCTAGCTCATTCGATCGGACGGATTGATAACGCGGAGAGACACTCGCACAAGCGCATAGTGACACGGTGCGACGAATTTCTTGAATATGATCCAATCAAGGATCGTTGGGAGGAACGTGTGAATACAAGGAATGACGTCTCGCGAAGAACCGCGAATTCGGGCTCAGTAGCTTCCGAATTCGGGAGGACGAGAGATGAAATGTGTAGCAGTGTATAGGAATTCAATCGAATTCAGGCCCCCCGACTCGACTTTTTTTCGCGCGCCGGAGCTGTTCGTGGCTGAAGCTCTTCGGGTCTATTTCCGCATCGGAGGCTGGATGTCGCGGGAAGGTTCGAGTCGAACCGTCGCGAGACATGGAAGTCTCTTGTGTATTTCAGGTAGCCGATTGTGGCGCAAGATCGCACGAGCGTACCTTGTAGCATACGTCCTCGAATGACATCCATTCTTCCTAGGTATCCTTCGTTGACCCGGACAATTCGAGGCTCATCTCCTGGCAAATCTACATTCTTCCGATTGGGTTCCAACCGAAAGGTATTTCAGAGAGGCCGAGGAAGTTTTATTTGAGAAGGCGCGGTGCATCATGAGGGCCTTGGGGGATTTCGATTCCGACGATCGTGAAAACGCTTTGGAATAAATTCTAATGTCCTCCCCTATCCTGTTTCTGAGCGGTCAGAGGTCAAAGGGACCACTCATGGAAGCTCGTTCCCACCGTGTCTCCGAACGACCGCAAAATGGGGCCGGCCTGTTTCCAAATTGGAACAAGCTCACGGAACTTTTCTGAACTCCCGATTCTGATTCTTTTGCTTCGAGGCTGTGCAGCTGAATGCACAAGATCTCTTACGAGTTGTTACAGATATCGAGAGGTTTCTCCTGCGAATCGATTTTGATACTCCAGAGTATCGCGATGAATCCATTTATCCACATTCATCTAGGCTTAAGTCGTAGATTGTTTAATACCTCTGAACATACACTGTAAATAATTGTCTTATGCCATCCCTCAGCGAGCTACTCAGCTCTTCGGGAAATACTTCCGGCGAATAAATTCAAATTTCAACGTGACCGGAAAATTACACTTCGGAGCTCCGCTCAGGATGTCGTCCGGGAAGAAGCGGATTTCGAAGCGGACGCCGCGATACCTCGTCAGAGACCGGCCGGCGAGCGTCTTTATTCTCACAGTGACGCAACGAGGACGATGTCTTGTCGACAGGTGGAGCCGCGGGAGGAAGAGTCTCGCTGATTTGGGGGAAGTCTTCCCGATCTGTTGCCTGCAGGGAGCCCGGTCCCCGAACGGAGAAATGTGGAAGACCTTGCCAGACCTCATTCGGGTGCAAGCATCGTGATACCGACGGAGATCAACGATATCAGACCGGGATCTTCGCTTTGTCATACCTGGAGTGAGGCATCACACAGACAAAGTTTCATCCGAACTGAAGTTCTTTGCTCAACTCCCACCCACGTCACCCTCACGGGTCACATGCGCAGATGGAGGGTGGATCGGTCTATCACTGTTGATCGTGGCATCGAACAGGGATGCTGTATAGCTCTTCCGATGCAATAACGAGAATTCCTGAGGCGTTCCTGGCACAGTACCGGCAGCGTGGAAATATCATGCTCCTCGCTTCGGCTGCACAAGGAATCGGTGACTTCCTGAATTTCGGCTTCCACGCAGAAGCCTCAAGCGGAGGATTGTCATTAACTAGTTTTCTGTCACGAATAAAACACATAATCATCTTTCCGAGTGTGATGACGGCTCGAGGATCGGAGCGAGCTCGAAGAGAAGCGCGCCGGGTGTAAATAAATTGAGAGAGGTGCGACGATTCTTTTCCTCGATACGAGATTGCATTGGGAGAAAACGCTCCTGATTCTGTTGTCATCGTCCCCTGGCTCGACGCGATCTTGTTCGAGCTTCATGGATCAGGTATTCACAGATGAGGAGACAAATTATTCAGATTATTCGAAGATCTATCCTGAAATTATGAATTTCTGTGCCCTGCCCTCGTGTTCAATCTTTTAGACTTCATCACACTTGTCGAGAGCCCTCATAATGAGCCTCGTCGCCCTGACTCGCTCCTGACGCTGCTCTCTCCCTCCCTTTCTCTTCGCTCGGTGCGGGAGTATTGTCTCTGATTGCGCTGCTGGGCGCACTGACAGCCCTTGCAAAAATCCCCCATCAACCTGCAGCCAGCGCAGCGACGTGGAGGCGCCTTTGCATTGTTAATGAAGCTTTAAATTCGTTTTAATCAGCCCGTTCTATGCCTCGTTCCCTCGGTCGTTCGATACGACGCAATCAACTAATGAAACGTAGAAGAAGGTTGAACTGCGCATTAAAGACCGCCACGATTAAAACAACGTCCTGTAAGCTGACCTGCTGAACCTTGGCCGGCGGGCCGGCCGGGATCGTTCCCCCAGTCGCCCTCGACCCTGGCTACGACAAATGCGATGAGAATTTAAATTCCGGGCGGAATACTTCGCTCAAATACCGGGGATTAATGACAAATCGATACTTAGGACCTCATTTTGAACTTTATTTAGCCCAGCTTAGCCGCTGATGATGTTTCTACACATCGCCTTGCACTATAGTTCAGCTGGCGTTCGCAACATCTCCTGTCGTGAATTTCCGAGTGAATTCCGACCATTTGTTTCGAGCGGTCAAATTATTCGACGGAGTTCCGGACCCGGCACGTCTCCCACGATGCCGTCTCGGTGCTATTGTTGTCTCAGTCTCGTTTGGTGTTGTGTTCTATTGCGAAAATAACTATTGCTCTGCGTGTTGTTCAAGTCTGCTCCCCGAACATCTCGCAGAAGCCAGACTTGCGGTGAACGGAAAACCAATCTTCTCTCGTAATTCCTCTGTTTGCTTCGCTCTCTCGCTCAGCCGACACTCGCTTGTTCCTGCGGCGCTATACGACGTACGGTCTATAAATACAATTGTCTTGCACGAGTACTTCCTGCGTGGTCTCTTTCGGTGAGCGAGGTGCTTCGTCCAGATCCTCAGGATCGAGGTCGCGGGACGAATCTCGTGATGAGCAATCGTCCGGAGATTCTGGATAGTCTTCTTGGTGGTGATGGTGGTGGGAACTCAGACTGAAGTTCAGAGGTAGCCCCGAAGCGGGCGTCTGTGGCACTCCGTGCATCAGCATTCCCTGGTTGCTCAAAGAGCTCAAACCCCCTCCGATCGAGGTTTGGGAGGATCCCTCGTCTTTCTTCTCCCGACTCCCGGAAACTTTCGCTTCTTGTTGAGCTTTTTTGCTGCGTTTCCATTTCATCCGCCGGTTTTGGAACCATATCTTCACCTGCCGAGGGAAAAATATCTTGTTCTCCACCGTTCATTGAGAAAGCGATTCCACGGTCATTCTGAGTGCGAATTCCGCTTGATGGAAGTCGGAAGCCGATGGACTCACCTGCGTCTCCGTCAGCATGAGGTTAGTCGCCACTTCGAACCGCTTCGGTCTCGAGAGGTACTTGTTCATTCGAAACTGATTTTCCAATTCTAGAAGCTGCTGTGAGGTAAACGCTGTTCTAGGACGTCGGGTCTTGCCCAGGAGATTTTGCTGTGAGCCTGAAACGGAAACCCCGGTTGAGAATAGAGACCATCTCGGAGGATCGGGACGATCGCGCGGCTCTATTTTGGTGGGGAAACCCCACCGTGTTCCGAATGAAAAGAAAAACGTGGACCGCAGACGGAATCCGTGAAATTATTATATTCACAGGACTGAGAAATATCCCTCCCATCGTCGTTTCCATCGAACTCCGTCAGATCAATCGGACCATCAGTCCAGAGACTGAGATCGCAGCGGCTCATGGATTGGATGGAGTCGATTCCGATTAGAATCTTCCCCGGAGCGAGCTCATCCTCACGAGCGCATTTCGACTGTGGTTTCCCTGAATGAATGAGAGGCTGTTCGCTTCGCTCGTTGACTGCTAATGATTCAGGGGAACGAGAGCGGGAGACTAATTTGTGAGGTCATGACCATCATCACTAGCTCCAGCACAATCGAGACCACCATCCGCGATGCGACTGTGATCCTCCGAGCTTTTACACCTTCCCCCATCCCTCCGACCCCGAACGGGGTCTTTAGACCGGCTCCGTGACAGACTGGTCGTCAACTCGCATCCCCTCGCGAAGTAGTGGTGGAGGGGGTGGTGGGTACGGTGGTGCTCATGGTAGCTGTAGTAGAAGGAGAAAGAAGAAGAAAAGTGGGAGTCCCCTTTTTTCTCTCCCCGCGTTCACTTATCTGACAGATGGTGTGATTAAATTAAACTGTTTGCCACAAGAGAGCGGTTTGCTTGGCAGGCCGATTGGCTCACACGAGCCGAGGAGCTGGTCAACTTTGCCTCTGCCAGTGAGCTCCGCCACGTCCATGTGCGAACATGAGGCGCAAACAGAACAGCAGAGCTTTCTCGCGATGTTGACCGAAAGAACAGTTAGCTGCGGGATAACGGGAAGCTGAGAGAGGATCCCCGAACGAGTCCGCTGCCCGATAATCAAGTTCGAATTCGTGCAATTAGCAAAGTTTGTGTGGTGCCGCTCCTACCGCCGCTGTATCAACTGTTTGTGCCTTCAGCAACTCTCTTACGAACAGTCGTGGAACTAGGGGGAGAGAGCGTTCGCGTTAAAGAGACGGGGGAAAATACGGGAGGAGTGCGGGACGGGAACAACGCGGGCGATGGCGGAAGCAGCGGCAGCCGCGGCGGCTGGCAGAGTAGCGTCCAACCCACCCTCAATCCCTCGGCCATTATGCTCCCGAGGGCAGACGTTGGTTACCATGGGAACTCAGTCAGTCGAATTGCCCTCACTGAATGAGTGGCTGCTCCTTTCTCTGCTCCTGCCTGTGCGAGTGTCGGTCGTTGTGTACGAGTACAGCTATCTGCAGCGGGCTATGCTAGGCAAGCCGAACGAGAACAGGATCGTGTTCCTGTGTCTCTGAGTGAGTTGTTGTTTTGAGTGATCACTTAGCCAGATGCTCGTCGGAGCTCCCGGCCCCCGAGGCTGGCATCGCTCATCGCCGCAGCATTCATCCTTCACGGCTGGTGGAAATCGCGACTACCGTAGAGGCTTCTCTTCCAGGAGGCCCGATTATTATCACTGACACAATCACATCATTATTATCGTGACGAATCGGACTTTCTGAGGTCGAAAATGAGATTCTCGGCTCGACTTTGAGCCCAGGGGCATGTATGATATATCTTCTGAGGAGTCCACATCGCATTGGTCTCAGATTCCAGGGGAAACGTCCAATCGATCCATCTAGGATTCTCCTCTGGCTCGATAGCCCGCTCTTGGACAGGATTCCTTTTGTTTGAAAAATATTGTTCCCTCAACTGCCCGTTTAATGGCTGTCCCGGTCGAATCGACTTGGATGTAGCCTCCCCGCGCGAAATTCGAGCTCACTCCCTTCCCAATTGGGTTCGTATTTGTCGACGGGTCTTCAAGTCCCCCGCTTCAACTCAGACTGAAATCGATAATTGAATTTGTTGTTTTATTTAACCCGAGGCAATCACAGTTGATCCAGTGGCTGGCTAACTGAGCGCAGCGGGCAGACAGGCGGGAAAACGGGAGAGCGGCCGGCCGGGCGGCCAGCTACAAACGAACCGACTTAATCCCATAAGTGGTTCAGGGGGTGAGCAAAGGGCGCTAACCCAATTCTCGATCGAGAAACGGATAGATAGACAACGAGTGATGCACTGCTCGAAGAATAGATGGAGTGAAGGGATTAGCAGTCTGAATGAATTGCTGAATCCTTCGGGTTGAATCTCCTCCCCTCAAAACTGTTCCACCTGATTTGCGTTTCTACATCTGTCTCTACAATGTTCCGAGAGATATCCCTGATGTCGCACATACGAAGCTTCGCAACGAATTCAAGACGAGGATCATTTCGCTTTCCGGACGTCTCCAGCTGTTTCCTCGCGAACAACAAACATCCACTATTCGACTCGCGGATACCTGCATCTCGACTCTCGCAAATCACGAACCAATATCTTCTCGCATCGCGCGCCGCCAGAAACACGAGGAGGTTCCCGTTTTTTGGTTCGAATTCTTCCGGGGAAGATTGCGTGCGATTGAGGACTTTGTCTCCTGCTCGATGTTCGGAGGCGGAAGCGACAGTCGACCCATACTCCTCGGATCGCTTACACCTTGTTTACGTTACGGGATGCCCTTCTCTCGATGCCCTTCCGTGATACTGGACTTCCCTTCCCAAGCTCCGAGCTAAGGGCGAAGCTCCGGAGGTTTCGTCGTCTAATTCCGACAGCATCGCGTTCAGTTCCCGTTCACAACTGACGACGTCGTCGGCGCGTGAATCCTCATTCAAAGACTGTTGAACACCGTGAACTCTCAATCATGGTGATATGAGGTTCGGTCCCTCAAGAAAAACGTCTCCCTGGTGGCGACTCCGGAGAGATCCGACTGCAGCGTGATTTCCGGGAACCCTCCTGAGATATCAATTCGCCGAATGCAATGCTCGCTCATTCGTTTCGGACGGCGACTGGCGATGAGAGAAATGGTGCAACTCGGTACCGGCTCTGCACCATGAGCTTGACCGGGAACGAATGCCGTTGAATGAGGACGTTGCAAGCTTTCTCCAAGGCTCAGAGATCCCGCGTGCTCGCGCGATGAGTCGGTATCACCAACGCTCGACCCCATCTTCGACTGACTACTCTTTCCAGCGGAGAGCAGGAACGATCTTGCTCTCGATCGACGGAATATTGCATCGAATCACTGATGGGGGTCATTCTTCCCTCCGGATCCTGCTTGCCGAGATCAAGCCATCTGATCAAGCCATCATTCTCCACCTCATGTCAGATATACACAACATTCGTTGGGGACGTGACGGAGAAGGTCTCTTATCGAAAATGCGAGTCTCTTTCGAGCTTGCCCGGGAAATCACGGTGTTGATGATTGCGTCTTTTGGATCTTTCGAAGGTCAGAGCAACGAACGAATTTTTCCGTCGCAGCCGGCCCAAGACCTCGGTGTCTTTGGCTCCTCTGCACGCGCGATCGATACCGCGCGTGTTATCTCTCGCTCTCACTCAGAAGCAGTTCCTTCGAGAATTCCCCGATAGCTATGAATTATTGCTTTATGATGAAACAACAAGAAGTCATTCCTATGTTTTCTTCTGCCTGCTAGTCAATTCGCTTGTTGTGAGAGCAAATGTACACATACATGCGCCCCAGAGTGCATTCGGGGTGGTTTATGGCCGATCAAGCGGAATGTGGTGCTCGACGTTTCCTCCGTTGGCGTTTGAAAACACCGTGTTAACTAAGCTAACTACGCATCGAGAAATTCGCCGCCATAAATAACCACTGTCTGACGTCAAAACGCTCCTTAGTTCCGTCAAACAAGCGACAATTCCTAGCTACTATAAGGTTGATTCTTGTTCGAATAACTGATGTTCGCCCGGGCCTCACGTCTCGGTTTGGTGCCAAACCATCACTCAGACGGACAGTCTCTCAAAAGCTGATCTCTGCAGTGTTTCGCGAGATTTTCGCCAATTATACATGTTTCCGACGTGATTCCTTGCTCAATGGCGGTCGATCCACCGACTGGATCTGGTCTCACGAACCCAGCGTCTTTCTCCGAGATGACACCCAGAATCTCGGCGTCCCGACCCTTCGGGAATGGTACGTCGCGTCGTGAGAGAATCCACTCTGTGAGGATTTTGGTGCCGAATACTCACATCTGAAGCACTTGCCAATCTGTCGGTCGTTTCTCGAGGCATGAGGGAGCCGCGGAACGCAAGTCGTTCCTTTTCCTTCGGAGATCGCTGTTTCTCCGTTGGGAAAACATTTGTTGATTTATTTTTCGGTGTATATGTTGTTTCTTGATGTGGCGACGGCGGGCGTAGCGGGGACGCCGCATCTAGGAATCCGCTTGAGAGAAGGAAAACACTCCTCTTCGGGAGCTTTGCTCTTGCTCGACAACAGCCCTCAGTTTTTGAAAAATGGATCGCAGGCCGCAAAAGGCTAAGACAACAAATGGTATGTTTGAAAAATCTTCCGAGAGCGCGGAGCACTGACGGGAGAAGAGCAATCCATGATGGGTTGCCGCTGTTTTCGTGAATGTTTCGGCCTCCCTGCCTTCCACAGAACGGACGTGGAAAAAATCCATCTGCGACTTGTAAGAGAAACCCCGCTGCCAATCTGAACTCGGGTTAAGGAGGCAGGACTGTGCATACTAGGCGAAGAGCAATCAGCCCTCTCTTAATCTTATCATCAGAAACGGAATCTGGATCGGTATTGCTACGGTATCCGGCGTGCAGCGGCTCGGCCGGGCCTGCCGGGACGAAAAGTCGTTTTGGCTAGTGACAGGCCCACAGCGCATTCATCCATGGGCCGTTTGCATCACTACGTATATTCATTCATTTTGGTCAGTCATAGGCCTACTTATTCTCATTTCCTTTCTCCTCGTCGTTCTCGGCGACGACTCTCGCTTGGTGGCCGCTCGCTCCTTGAACATGTATCCACTGGCCGCGCAGCCGACCGGCGACGATCCCATTAAGTAAATTGGAAGGAGCTCACATGAAGAACAAACAACGAAAGCAACGCGGCGGCAACAATGG